ACTCTCTGCATAGAACAAGATATATGGAGTATCAAGAAAACACTCAAAATTAGGGACGTGGGAAGTCAAGCATAGCTTATTATACCTTATTATACCAAAGGAATATGTGATTGAGCATGTTTTTAAATACTTCACAAAAGAAAAGATCACAGCGGTAAAAAACGAAGACAATCCAGGGTAAAGAATCAGTGTTTTCGAGAGTGACAATAAGTCTACTTATCAAGTGTGTTTCAAGAGATGGAAACCAACAAAGCTATGTGTTGAATAACTATTGGAATAAAGATTTTGTCTTCGAGCAGGCGATAACATTGGACTCTTTTGGAATCCTTATGCTTCAAGGCTCCAATAAAAGAATACTTGCATTTAAATTGAGAATCATATCCAATAATAGTAATAAATTACAGCGTATAAACCAATTTGAGTTGGACATAGCTATAAAATCAAAAATAGAAAAATCATATTAGTGCTATATGTACCAAACTATTAATATATACATATATATATATATATAGATGTATATCACTATTCTATTTAAAATATTTATATAGAATCGATTTTAGATAAAACATATAAACCAATTTGAGTATAGATATTAAAAATCAAGTATATAAAAAATGCAATGACGGATTTTAAAATATATATTATACTATATAGACAAAGAATAATTTATAGCAAAAAAATACGATTTAATATATACTTGAATTGCCAACAAAGTGATCTTCATTTTCTTCATACAATTTATTGATATTTATTACTAAGAGTTGCGCATCCAACTCTTTCATTGCATTTAGATTCGAATCAATTAAAAAAAGTACATTCGGACAATGATAAAACTCTTAATCATCTGTATGAATTGGTTCAGTACCATCTTCATAACATTTTATATTTATAATTGAGATGCTTAATCATCACTCATTTGAATACTCAGATCAAATGCATTGATTATAGAAGTACATTTATCATTCAATAATGACTATTGACTGGTTTAGGGAGTATACGAAGAGATGATCGATTGGAATCATCAATCTTT